TTTTTTTTTTTTTTTTTTTTGAGAGAGAGATGGGCAATCTCATTGTGGAGCTTAATGCTGAGGACTGAGCTATTAATGCCATCGATTTAAGAGTTACTGATGTAAACTTACAAGAAAAGGTCTGGATACCGGGGGCTGGAGAGCTGCAGTCCCCACATTGGAAAATTACCAAGTTTATGGGCTCCACCTAGGACTGAATTTCTAGGAGAATTTATCAGGATCCCCTTTCTCTCTCCCAGATAAGTCCATCAGTCGTCCCCAGATGGCACTTGCATCTTTTAAAATATTAGCCCGAATGTCAAGGAAGAACAGGGGTGCAAAGGCAGTTGAGATCCTCAGATCTGGGAAACCCTGATGATTTTTCCATAAAAAGAAAAGGGCAACCATGAAATGCTAAGCGCACTCCAGCCCACACGATGGATTTGCACATGAGCTCAGAAAAGCCCCAGAACTCACAATCCACTTTTCATCAGCATAAGCTGTGCTGTTTAGCCAGATGAAGAGAGCTTTGCAACAGTACCACTGGGCTTCCTGAGGGGTGAGGAGGCTGTTGGGGTTGATGGAGAGAATTATAAAGTGAGACCAGGGAGCAGAGAATACGTGGAGGATGAATCATGAGAAGACCACTCTCGAGACCCTCCGACAAAGCCTCTTGGACTTTCATAAAACACAGACTTCTAACAGGTACAAAGCAGTCAGCATTTTGTCTTCAGCTGGTCTCAGCACCGCACCAGTACCTATGGGAAGCTCGCCTCCACACAACTTCAGAATGGGCTGCTTTGGAGCACAGGGTGGGAAGGGAACCAGGCCACTCCTGCGAGTTCCCTAGATGTTTCTAGAGTTTCCTTTAGTACAGAAGAGATCACTATACCTCTCAAGAGTATAGGTTTCCCCCTTGCTCCAACGGGGCAACCCATTCCTGGCAAAATGGCCCTGAAGTGAAAGATGCTCCAACCCAGATACTGTCACTCCCAAGGACCCAAAAAGACCAAGCCAGTGCGGTCCTGCTGCCTGTTGGCCAGATGGGTCATCCCGCTGCTGCTTTGCACAAGCCCCCTGACTAATAACCGCCTGGGGCCAGTCAGAGGAATAGAGGGGCCTGTGTTTATTGATCTGATGACCTGTTGGCCCTAAATAAGGAATCCTGAGCCTTCTCTCTCTGGGAAGACCAGCAAAGGAGAGCGTTGGTTGCTCAGAAAGATGCTCAAAGAAAGAATGATGCGTGCTACCCCTGAGAGCGCCAGCTCTAGGTCTGAGTATAAGTGCATGTGAGCGTGCATACACACACACACACACACACACACACACACACACACACACAGCTGGCTGCTGTGGCCTCATGCCTCACCACATAGTAAATCAGCTCCTGGTAGTCCTTTAAAAGATAAGGTGCTTTCTCAAAGGGGGTGATGGTTTTCATGCTGACAACTCTCGCCCCTTCCTCAGAGCTCTACTGTTTTTTGTTGAAATCCACTGGTTTGACACAAGGCCGATGCAGCCAAGCAGACAGCCCCACCAGTTACCCTGGGCCGTCTGACTGTCCTCTCGTCCCGGGGAGCGGACTGAAAACAGGTGAAGTCGTACCGGGGTGTCGGCCCCCCTCATCCTCTGGCAACCTGCCCCCCGCCCCCACCAGCTCCCCTCCCTGGAGCCAGAGCACACAGGAATTTGATACCCCTGTCTCTGAACTGACCCCTAGCACCGCCCCCTTGTCTGCAAGCACTTCCCACGCTCCAGGGTTGGGGTCCACAGTCTCTCCCCCCAACCACCACCAAACCGCCCACACCGCTCCGAAATGACAATGCTGAGCTGGGCCTCTTGATTTTTAGGAAGGGAAATCCTTTAAAAAGCCCAGCTTTTCAGAGCTTTTTTTTTTTTAAATAAACCCCTGAAGCCAGGTGGCCTCTGTCCCAAGTGAATCGGGCTCTTCATTTTAAGACTGGCTTCAGGCTGTGGAAGTGAGGGGAGCGGTGGGGGGAAGCCCAACAATGCACAAAATAGAAAGAAATAGCCTCAAACTCCTGAACCCAATCTCCATATTAAATTTAAAACAAAACTAGAAGTTGGGTTTTGGCAACAAATAAATAAATAAACCACTCAGGAAAGAAAGTAAATCCCCCAGGACAAGTTCAAGCGGAACGTCAGTATCCTTGGCTGAGTTTCTGCTCAGCAGCTGATGGTCAGATAGCAGATGCAGAAATCTCTAAAATAAACTTATTATTAGGCTCACTGCATGAATTCCTTACCACAGTAGCTATTCACCACCAAATATTTCTCTTTTCTGGGTCCATCTGAGATTCGTATTCATTTCAACCAATGTGTTTCTTTCTTTTCTTCCATTGAGGGAGACTTAAAAATAGTCTTCTAAAGGCCCTTTTTTCCCCCTTGTACAGACTTATTTACACGACTGTAGGCCTCTTGATATAATCAGATGCATTGGCCAGGGCTACAGGTGTTGTACGTGAGTCTACTTCTGATTTTCCCACCTCCTTTCTGCCTAAAATTCTTTTGGGATGGCAGGCCTGACCAAGTAAGAACCAAGAAACTACTGTGCCCAAGACATGGACCCACACCCTCCTGGAGACAAGCTGGTACTGTTCAGATTCTCAAGGGGGCCCTACTGTCCCCATCGTGAGCCAGAGTCTACCCACTTCTCCTTGGGCTCCGGCAGCACCATTTCTGTCAACCAGGCTTGGTCTCTGTGACTGCTGAAGGTTACTTGACCTCCATACGCTTCAGTTTCCTTGTCTATACAGTGGGAATAATAACCTAGGAGTAGTACCTTTGTAGGACAATACTACATAGTGGTAGGGTTGTGCGGATTAAATGGGTTTCCCAGGTGGTGCTAATGGTAAAGAACCTGCCTGTCACTGCAGGAGACATAAGAGACATTCGATCCCTGGGTTGGGAAGATCCCCTGGAGGAGGGCATGGCAACCACTCCAATATTTTTGCCTGCAGAATCCCATGGACAGAGGAGCCTGATGGGCTACAGTCCATGGGGTTGCACAGAGTCAGACATGGCTGAAGCACTTAGCATGCACAAGGATTAAATGAGATCATCCATGGGAAGCACTTAGCAAAGCGATGCGGGACGTTTCCCCAGATTGGTGGATGCTGGCTGGTGATGGCAGCAAGGGTGAAAATGACAGAGGAGACAAGTATAAAATAATTAAGAATCAGGAGATCTAGTTTTGAGAGCAGCTCTCCTCCTTCCTTTCTGTTCACCTCAGGAATGTGAATTCTCCAGGCCAGTTTCTCTGCCTGAAATGTGGAGCTAGGTTTTGTAGAACAAGCAGTGATTCCTGAACAAGAACACTGTAAGGCTCAAAGCATTCATGGCGCTTACCTGGAGCTGCCAGAGTTGTTTTGAGAGCACCAGGGGGTCTGAGAGGGAGGGATTATATATCTTCCTAGTCCTTTGTGTTCTTTCTTTGGCATTTGTCAGGGAAGAAGGGTTACATTATCGGGGGCCTAACCATTTGCTGGAGACTGTCTTCCTGTCCCTGGATGCTCTGTGCTTTTGAGGAATCGTTTCAACTCCCAGGGCTTCTCTTCGTCTCTGGGAAATAAACACAAAGCCAAACTACCTGGTCACCGTAGCTCTCAAGCTCGTTGGTCCTCTAAAAGAGCCAATAAGTTAGAAGATTCTAGAAGATTCTGTTAGAAGATTCTAGAAGATTCTCCCGAGTTCCAAAGATCAAGCCTTCTGTATTCTCAGTGTCGTTAGTTTAGTGCCAATTAGACTAAGAATTGTGTTAGCTTCCCAGTGGAAAGTGCTTTTCAGTGCTGAAGAGTATGTTTCTAATGTTTGAACTTTCAAGAGGAAGAAAGAAACTGATAATAGTGCAAAGGATTTTATCCTTCCCTAATTTTGGACAGAATTCTCAAACTTGGCACCTATTCTGGTCTCTCTTTCTTGGATTTGACAAGATTCAGCCAGAAGTTGGACTTGGGTCTTTTGGAAAAGTTCTTTTTCTTTCACTGCCTTGATTCATGGTATGGAAAAATCCATAAGAAACAAATATGCTAAAGATGCTTCAATGCTGTGTATCGAAGATGCCAAAGAAAGGTAAGATCCAGCTCCATCAGCTTGGAAATCTACTGTGTTCCTTGCCACACCTTCAACTCATCACACCGATTATTGTTCAAGACATTTTTATGAACAGATTCTTTGATGCTAAAGAACATGTAAATAAGAGTAAGAGCAACAAGAAACATAAAACTAATCTCCCTCCACCCCCTCCCATTCGAGAAGTCATGATCATGCTCATTAAGTCTTTTTAATTGGATGCCTATGAAATTTCACGTTCAAGATTAGATTTCTTCTTTTGATATCAGTACGAGGTTTCCATGTTCCTAACTGCAGGGAAGGGTGGATCCTAAGGTTTGTGTGGTTTTTGTTTTGTGTGGGGGTTTTTTTGTTTGTTTGTGTTATTTGTAATTCAGTTGGAGCAGTGGCTAGAAATGAAAGGGGGAAAAGAAACCTCTAAGCTGATGAGATTTAGTCATCGATAATAGTTTTTGGAGTAAATTTGTATTTTGCTACTCATTGCCTGGCCAGGCAACAAATCTGTTTTGTTTGGATCCAAGCAGCAGTTTGGGGGGAAAAAGAATCATATTGACGGTAATAGCTTAAAACATGGAATTGTTTTGATTCCCAGCTTGGAGAAATTGCAGGGCACGTTTTGTTTAGGCAATCCCTTTGACTCCAGTCTGGATACAAACGGAATACCAAAACTGTCCAGCCTGTTCCGCCTTATCTCCTACCCAGGGACTGATCTTATTACCATAATTGCAGGCTTGCCTGGCTCTTGGCAGCTTCTCGCCTCCAAGACCCTTAATAGCCTTGCAGACAATTGTTGCGGCTCAGTTGTTCTGTCTGCAGGCACTGGGGGCTGGGACTGCACAGGAGAAAGGTTGTGTCTTCAAAGGCTGGGCATCATGAAATCTCTGCTGGCTCGGGTCCATGCCGCCCAGCTGTGCACTCCTTCCACTCCATCCTTGTAGGGTTGTGTGTGGGTCCTGGGCACTATCTCTCTCCAACAGCCATCCCTCCAGCAAACAGCAGTGATACAAGGTGAATGATGTAATTTTTCTTTTTGTCCTTTTGGGGGATTACTAAAGTTCCATAATTATTTATAAATATGCAAGGGATGCTTACAAGACTGGGGTGATGGTGGTGGCATGGTATCAAGCCAATGGTGCCCTCGTAGGCATCCCACACCAGAGGAGGAGATGCTCTCAGCCTGCCCCAGCCCAAGTGTACTCTAGGGTAGAAGACCAAACCCTGGACTTCGTGTCTGGACCACACAAGGCCACAGGTAGGCCCACCATGAGCGGGGTAACCGTCTTTGAACGTCGAAGAGAGTAGAATTCAAACTTTCCCATTCCTGAGACAAAAGGAAGGGTCTGTTTGTCTTGGGTATTGGCACAACCCAGTGCAATTTGGCAGAGCATCTCAGTAAGTCTCTCAGATGTCAGGTTAGGGCAAAGCTGGAAGAGCATCTGCCCAGTACATCTTGCACTGATTACTTGGAGAGCGTGTTTCTGATTCATTTGCACATAACTCATCCAGGGGTTGTTGCAAGAGCGGTGTGATGGCCAGAGGAACCCAAGAAGTCTTTTATTATGTTTTTTAAACAAGTTTCTCTATGTTGATTGTCTCTTGGAGCCAAGAAGCTGCATTCTTTCAGCCCTGTGACTTCCAAACGAGGCTCCGTAAATCCAAGAGTGAGTTCTGACCTTGACTCTGGGACTGTCTGCTCTGACCCTGAGGGTCGGTTAAGGAGGAGTCTGCGCTGGGTCTGGTTTCGGGGATGAGTGACACTCAGCTGGGACAGCATGCACCTTGTGCTCACATCTCTACATGACCTGTGGCATCCAGCCCCTACCGGCATCGGTGGGCTCTGGGCTCACCTGGTCACCAGAGGGGATGGGACCTAGGTGACTGACTTTTTGAGAGACAGTTTGGCAAAGTTCGTAAGAGTGCAGGCTCTGGAGCTAGAATACCCATGGCTGCCAGTTACTAGCTGTGTGACCTTAGTTTGTTAACTTCTCTGTGTCCAGTTTCTCTGTTTATAAAAAGCTGTCTAGCCACTACTCTGAAACTTAACAATCACTGGACTGCCTGGGGTGCTGTGGGTCAGCAATTTAAGCAGGGCTCAGCTGGGAGAGCTCGTCTCTGTTCTACATGCTGTCAGGTGCGGTGACCCAGAGGGGCTGGAAGATCCAAGATGGGTCCCCGCTCAACTGACTGGGGCCTCAGAGCTTTCCAGGGACTGGAGGAGCCTTTGTTCTCTGCTGTATGGCTCCCTCATCACATGACGGTTATGTGCACAGTAGTCTAGGCTAGGCTTCCATACATAATGGTAGGAACTTTCTGAGAGAATGCAAATGGAAACTTCAAGACTTCGTGTGACTGGTCGCGTTGACACACCTTCCACACTCATTACTATGAGTCGTTAGGCCAACCCAGAGGGGAAGGGAGGGGAAGTAAACCCCACCTCTTGGTGGGAGGCGCGGCACTCACAGGCCAGAATGGGAGGAGTGGCAGGGACATCACTTCAGATCAGTAACCACAAGGGCCGAGCAACAGAGCCAACATCACAGAGACGTTGTGAGTATTAAATACACTAATCTATGGAAAGCCTTTAAAACAGTGCCTGGTACATGGTTAGTTCTCAATAAGTGTCCCGTTTTATGAGTTGTTCTTGCGCCATTCATGGTACCTGTTGACTCCTTGAATTAAAGACTTCGCAGCAATGTAGTCATCCGTTAATCAGGGGCCCAGTGATACACTGCTTCCTCCCAACCCAAGGCACGTGGGCGTTGGTTCCTCCGGGCATCCCTGGAGGTTCTCCCCCGTGTCACTGAGCAGCCTCCTCTTTCCCTCCTGAGGGGGCGCGTTTCCCTCTTGAGGGGCCGCGTTTCCCTCCTGAGGGGCGCGTTTCCCTCCTGAGGGGGCGCGTTTTCCTCTTGAGGGGCCGCGTTTCCCTCCTGAGGGGCGCGTTTCCCTCCTGAGGGGGCGCGTTTTCCTCTTGAGGGGCCGCCTTTCCCTCCTGAGGGGGCGCGTTTTCCTCTTGAGGGGACGCGTTTCCCTCCTGAGGGGACGCGTTTCCCTCCTGTGGGGGCGCGTTTTCCTCTTGAGGGGCCGCGTTTCCCTCCTGAGGGGGCGCGTTTCCCACCTGAGGTGGCGCGTTTCCCTCCTGAGGGAGTCACATTTCCCTCGTGAGGGGGCGCGTTTCCCTCCTGAGGGGGCGCGTTTTCCTCCTGAGGGGCCGCGTTTCCCTCCTGAGGGGGCGCGTTTCCCTCCTGAGGGAGTCACGTTTCCCTCGTGAGGGGGCGCGTTTCCCTCCTGAGGGAGACACGTTTCCCTCCTGAGCGGGCACGTTTCCCTCCGCTCTCTTAGACTTTCTCCCGAGGGTCACCCGGCATGGAGGCTGTTGACTCCCCATTGACCCTGACCTGTTTTGAATTCCTCAGGTCACCATAGAGGTGGTGGATGGTCCTGACTCTGAAGCAGAGAAGGATCAGCACCCGGAGAATAAACCCGGCTGGTCAGTGCCGTCGCCCGACTGGCGGGCCTGGTGGCAGAGGTCCTTGGCCCTGCCGAGGGCCCAGGGCGGTGACCAGGACTACAAGTACGACAGCACCTCAGACGACAGCAACTTCCTCAGCCCCCCCGGTGGCTGGGACCGTCCGGCCCTGGGCCACCGGACGTTTGAAACCAAAGAACAGCCCGAATATGGTGAGTTTACCACCCAGCAATATAAAATCGGTGCAGAGAATAAACAAGGACGATGAGGCCAGTGGATGTGGAGCCAAGCAAAACCCTGTTTACAGTGTGTGGCTTTGGGTCTTCAACAAGACAGACCTCATACAGACTCTGTCCACCCCGTCCACAGAAGGCCCAAGAGGCCCCCCCTCACCACATTTTTCTAGAAATACTATAATTTTAAGATAATGCCAATTATCCTTGGAAAGATTTTTTTTTTAAAGTAAGGAACCTTGAAGCCCCCCCCTAATCCCCCCCCCAAAAAAATTTTTTTTCTAAAAAATGACGAAACCACCGAAATAACTTCCTCAAATATTGTGAGTGCTCAGTCGTGTCTGACTCTTTGAGACCACATGGACAGGAGCCCAGCAGCCTCCTCTGTCCATAGTAATTTCCAGGCAAGAATACTGAAGTGGCTTGCCGTTTCCTTCTCCGAACTTCCTCATGTATTTGACTGTAAAAACCTGTACAGAAAGTCAACTTAGTGAAAAAGATATGCCCAGCTGTCTCCTTTGACCAGGCAACTATGTTATGTTTATCACTGGTAGTTGAGTGACCGTTTGAAACCCGCATCGACATGTATGTCTCGAGTTATCAAAGTGAGGCATCCCCACCAAAAAATTTCAAGACCCCAAGTTAGGACTTACAGTTAGTTTCCCATGCTTTTAAAGTAGGATAAGCAAGACAACAAACAATTTTTAAGTTCAATGACATAAAATAATCCAAGTTCATTTCTCACTTAAGCTGGGATGGAAGACAAGGTAGGGGGAACTCGGCTCCACCCAGTTGTTCACGGACCCAGACTCCTTCCAACTTTAAGCCCCCAACTGTGAGGGCCTGAGAATTACCCACTGGATGCTCTGCCTCTGGCTGGCAGACGAGTAGAGAGACAGAGCCTGGGAAAGGCACTCATGCTTTTAACCCCCTCAGCCTGGAGATGACAAATCACATCTGCTCAAATTCTATTGGCAAGACTTGGTCATATGATCCCATGTAGCTGCAAGGGAAGCTGGGAAATGTTTTCTGTGTAAAATAGATGAAGAGGAGACCGATTTGGAAAGCATCTGGCCAGTCTTCATGAAGAATCAGGCAGGGTGCCCCATGTTATAAGAGCATTTGATACCTTACAAACGCATCCACCATGATGATGGCCTTGTGGTTCGGCCTCGGCAGACTCAGGGGCAGATGGTCTGTGAGGATGACTTGTTTTGCACTGTTTGCAATCTCACCCTTACCCCCATTTTCAGCAGAAAGGCCACTCATATACTGGCAAGTCATTTCTGCCTGCTAACAGATGATCCTAAGCAATGTCCAAAAGAGTAGGACTTTTTTCCCAACCACATCATTTAGTTGCAACTGACATTGAACACATCTTCTGCTCATCATTCTGCTAGGTACTGGGAATCCAAAAAAGATTAAGGTCCTTCCCTGAAGAGCACCTCACCTGTCTATGGACAAAAGGAGAAAAATTAATGGATGGAGCAAAAGAATGCCACAGTAGAGATATACAGTAAACGCTAGAGAAGCAGAAAGAGTGCTTCCAGATCCCACCCACCCAGAAGGCTCATAAAACCTTCCCCTTTCCCAGAAGTCCAATTTATTTTCCAAGAAAGATTGGGAACAGTAGCCTACCTTTCTGTAGCAGTTGCCTTCCACAGTCCCTCTTCATAGCAGCTCTCAAAGATTAGATCATTTAATCAGCTCACTGAGGCAGAGACCCCACTTTACAAATAGGGAAACTGAAGTCTGGAGAAGTTAAGGAACTTTGACCTGAGATTCATCTCAGACAGTCTAGGTCCAGAGTCTGTCCTCTTCACCACTATGTTATTCTGCCTTTCTGGGGGGGAAAAAATGTACATCCTTTAGGGCAATAAAGTGGATCTATAAAGGGACAGTTAGATTGGAAGATAGGAATGGAAGTAGAAGTCCAGGGCTAAGCTGAGCTGTTGAACAAGAGAAATACAGAGGATCCCAGGGTGCTGGCCTGACACTGCACAGGACTGCAGCTTAACCTGTCTGCCCCACCTATGTGTGAGGCTCAGACCCTCCGCATCAGAATCCATCCACTGCCTGTGAAAACGTAATGCCTATCCCGCATTGCAATTTGTTTGCTGTTTGAGCCACCAGAGAAGCCCCAGACATCAGGATTCCTACTTTCTAAAGAAAATCTGGTCCCTTTATGGAGGCCCTAAAGCAGTGCTTCTCAGACCTTTATGTGCACACACATCACCTGGGCATCTTGGCAAACACTGCGCCTGAAGCCACAAATGAAGAAAAGGGGCGGGCAACCTGGTGAAGCCCACCCTGCTGGTCCTCAGACCACACTGAGAAGCAAGACTGTAAATGTGTAGCTTACATGCTATAGTCAGTCCGTTGCATTTGCAATGTGGATGAATCATTACTGCTTCTCAGTATGGCTCACAGGGAATATACAATTTCCAGAATTCTTTACAGGATCAGATAAGCAAGGTCCCCTTTTATTTCAATCAGCAAGAAAGTATAGAGCAATCTCTATTTCACCTGTGTTGGGTGCCAGGGAGGATACAAGGAGAGAACATACAGCCCAGGAAGGTGAGGTTCATGCAGTGGCAAAGCAGTGCCCATCACTGGGCCTTTGGACTTGCTGCCCTGTCTGAGGCCAGCTACAGTTGCCATAGGAACTGGGCTTAGTGGAGGCTATCAATCACAAATATTTGAAGTTAGGGTTTTTCATAAGAATGCAAATGTCTGCAGCCAGAATATTTCAGAAAATCCTTGGTGAAATAAGTAGACTGTAACAGCATCTTTAGAGTAAATTATAAAATACGCAACAAAAGAGAGACCTAATTTGTGATGGTGGAAGCATGTAATGACCATGAGTCAGCTCACCTTTGGACACTGTGTGTTTGAGATACTTAAGTTGTCACCCAGGGTAAAGAAAGGGTCCAAATAAGTATCTTTCTGTCAAATAATAGTATACCATCCCCAAGATTGCTCTGAATAACCTGATAATGCAATCAGATAGACACAGCGAAGTGTAATTTGGGCTGGTAATCAGTTCTTTGCAATTCTCTGACAGATTGTGGTTGTGTTTTAATAGATTTCACAGTGATTGTTTTGGAAAGGTTTTTCTTTGTCTTGTTGAATTATAGCCACATAATGGGTATCTTGGTCTTCTCTGGTGCCTCAGCAGGTAAAAAATCCACCTGCAATGCCAAAGACCCAGGCTTACTCCCTGGCTGAAGAAGATCAGGAGAAGGGAATGGCTACCCACTCCAGTATTCTTGCCTGGAGAATTCCATGGACAGAGGAGCCTAGAGGGCTACAGACCATGGGGTTGCAAAGAGTCAGACATGACTGAATGACTAACACACACACATTCAATAGGTATCTTAAGGAAGGGCTGTTTGGGCCAGAATCAAAGCTGCTGGAATATTAGGATATAGAGCAAGATGTGGCCAGAGAGCAGGCAGATCTCAGCTCTCAAACCAGCCCTGCCAAGTTTGAGTTGTGTGACCTTAATCAAGCACCTTAACCTCTCTGAGCCTCAGTGTCCTTATCCATAAAAGGTGAGTGTTTCCACCTACCTTGCAGGATTATTACAGCAGTTCAATCAGGATGTTTAGACAGAGTTGCTGGTTAAGGCAGGACTTCAGTAATTGGCAGTCACAATTGTCTAGCTAGGATTAGTGGTGGAGGTTTGCCCATGGCTGAGCCAAGACTCAAGTCACTTCAGTTGCCCAAACACTGTAACTGGATCACAGAACTCGAGTGCCCTGAAAGTATATAATGACCACTTTAAAATTTCAAATGACATCCTGGAAGCCCAGCCCTCAGCCCACTGCCCCGTGGATTGTTCTCTGCCCTCACTGAGCTCTTTGATGTCACAGACGGGGCTGCCACAGCCTCACATAAACATTCACAGGGACTGTTCTATGGTCTTTGTTGTCGTCTTTGTAATTACTGCTGCCCAAGTTCATCTTCTGCTCTCAGCGATGCTCCCTGGTAGGTGAGCCAATGAAAACAGGCTTGTTTTATTATAGCAGAAAGGAAGACTGCCCTCAGAGCTTTGTCTCCACCTCCCCCACATCAGAAACTCCCTTTCTGTCCTTCAAATACATTAAACAAATAGAAATCCCTGGGAGGAGGGGTTTGGCTGGGATGCTCCTCCAGGGCTGTGTGCTCTAGACACTTCTGAGGAGTGGACTGACGTGCCCACTTTTCCTCAAGAGTTTGTTTCAGTTCCTTGCTAGGCCAATGGAAATGATCAGCCATGTGGAGACATAAATGTTCCATGTCTAACTTTGGGGGACCAGTGTAAAGGTGTGTTTGGAAAATAAATGGCTTTGCGAGCATGTTTTGCCATGGAGAAATCCACTACTGAAGTAATAAATCCTTCATGGTTCCAGAGTCTCCAAGCCGTTCAGAGAGCATTCATAGGCAGGGTTGTTCTGGTGTATTTGTGACAGGTTTTGCTACTTTATTGTTTTCCTTTGAGAATTAAAAATAGTATATTTATTTTTTGGCTGTGTTGGGTCTTAGCTGCCCTGTGGCATGTGGGATCTTAGTTCCCTGACCAGGGATCAAACCCGCATCCCTTGCATTGACAGGTGGGTTCTTAACCACTGCACCACCAGGGAAGTTCCAGTTCTTGCTACTTTGGAAACCACTCAACAGTAAAAAAAAAAAAAAAAAAAAATCCACCCACAATGCAGGAGATGCAGGTTCAATCCCTGGGAAGATCCCCTGGAGAAGGAATTGGCAACTGACTCCAGTCTTCTTGCCTGGGAAATCCCATGGACAGAGGAACCCAGCAGGATACAGTCCATAGGGTCGCAAAAGAGTTGGACATGACTGAACGACTTAACAACAGCAATCTAAAACTTACTGGCTTAAAAGCACAAGTGTCTTCGAGAGAGAGAGAGTCTGCAAGTTGTCTGCACCGTTGTTCTGACTTGGCTGGGGCTGTGTGCTCCAGCATGGCCTCATTCCCAATGGTGGGGTCCCTGCTGGTCAACTGGGGGTGCAGGGACGGGTGGGCCTCTCCCCCTGTGGCCCCTCACCTTCTGGGTTCACCCAGGCTCTTCATGTGGTGGTGGAAGAGTTCCCTCCAGGAAGAAGGCAAGCCCTGAGGCACGGGCACTCTCTAGCCTCTGTGTTGCATCATATTTGCTGTTTTCTCATGGGCCAGAGCAAGTCAGTGGCCCAGGGCTAGGGTGGGTATGAAAGGGTAGTCTCCAAGGGGGCAGGTACAGGGGGAAAAATAAGGAAACAACCTTCAAAAAAATTGAAAAAAGAACAAACGTCAAAAAATTAAAACAAAAAAAAACCAACATAAGAAATTACCTCGGGCAGAGATTCCAAGACAGTATGTTTAATGCTAAAATCTCAACATTCAGAGACGATATTCCCCCAAGCTGGCTCTCCATCTTATTATACCAGGGAGGACATAGTGCCAGAGAATTCTAGGTGGCTGAGGCCCCATTGCTTCTGCTGAGCCAAGCAGGATACCTCTTGGCATCACTTGGATTGTGTCTTAGGCTGAGACCCACCCCACAGGGGACAGCAACTCTTCCTCCATGAATTAATAAGCTTTTTCTGACTTACCCACTGCCCCCTTTTTATGAGTCTGAAGACAGTATCATCTTGACCGGTGACTTTTTCTGGTGGTGGTTGTTCCTTTTAACAAATCAGACCCCAGGAAGAGTCACACGGGAGGTGCCGAGTGTGTTCTTGTGTGCGTGTAACACATGGATACACCCACCGCAAGAGTGCAAGCGTGTGATTGTCTCATGCACGTACTTTGTGTTCTTGGTGAGTTTACCAAGAGGCCTGGGAGGCAGCAGCCCTGGCCCCCTGCTCAGCGATCTCTCTGGTTCCACTGCACTGATGCTCAGGAGGAGATGGAGAGATGGAGGCAGCCAGTCTGGGAGGGGAAGCACACCCACCTCCCTTGCACGAAGCCAGAGTTTCAAACATCTGCTTGGCGATGTGGTTGGAAAATCATGTCTTAGAACGAAATCAAAATTCAGAAAAACCCCTTTGGGGGAGTCGGGAGAAAGGGATGGGGCCCCCGGGGGCAGGTGAGGTGTGGTTGGACTCTCAACCGTGGGTTAGGGGAAAGGACTAGGACAGCCCCCACCGACTCTCACAATGGGCAGAGAGTCAGTGGCCCTGGGTTTGCCTGAGAGTGAACACAGTGTAAACAACAGCCTGGGAGTCTGGCGTGGGTCCCACAGTTCAGGTAGAAACATGTGTGGACTGCATTCTTGCCAGGCCTACGTAATAACAATCACCAGGACCTGTTCTGAACAGAGCAGGACCCTACCCTGCAACGCAAATGACTGGGGCTGCATGCTTGGCACTGGCAGAGGCCCCACAGCTGGAGGAAGATTTGGGTAAAGTGGGAAAAAGTAGTTCAGAGAGAAATGCTGCACTTAGCACTAGGGCCCAAGCCTTCTTTTCTCTTCCCCTTCCCCTTGAATGGGTCACCCAAGCATGCCAGAACTTAGTTTCCTTACTCTTAAAAGAGGAAATTAGGTGAATCCCCTGGTGGTCCAGTGGTTAAGACTCCAGGCTTCCAAGGCAGGGAGTGTGGATTTGATGCCTGGTCAGGAAACTGAGATCCCACATGCCAAGCAGTGTGGCCAAAATTTTTTTAATTTTTTTTAAATTAAAAAATAAAAAGAGGAAGTTAGTCTAGATAACATACCAACCTCTCTCACGGCCCTCAAGCCCCCAATCTGGTTCATTTCTCCTTTTTCCTTACCACTCACTGATTTCCGATACACTGTATAATTTAGTCATTTTTGTGTGTATTTTTTGATTATCGTCTGACTCTTCTCACAAAACTATTAGTACCACAGGGCAGAGATCCTTGCAAGTTTTATTTAATAATATATCTGATATACCCAGAATTGGGCCTGGCACATAATAAAGTATTTGTTGGATGGATATTGAGTGATAAAGAACCACCTAACTCTACCATTATGTATCATTTATCTGGGCTTCCCTGGTGGCTTAGCTGGTCAAGAGTCTACCTGCAATGAGGGAGACCTGCGTTTGATCCCTGGGAAGCTCCCCTGGAGGGGAGCATGGCAACCTGCTCCAGTATCCCCATGGACAGAGGAACCTGGAGAAGGGAAAGGCTACCCACTCCAGTTTCTGGCCTGGAGAATTCCATGGACTGTATAGTCTATGGGATGGCAGAGAGACGGACCCAACTGAGTGGCTTCCACTTTCAGACATCTTCTGGGCTTCCCCAGAGGCTCAGTGGTAAAGAATCTACATGCAGTGCAGGAGTCACAGGAGACTTGGATTAGATCCCTGGGTCAGGAAGATCCCTTGGAGGAGGGCACGGCAACCCACTCCAGTGTTCTTCCTGTGGACAGAGGAACCTGGTGGGCTACAGTCCACGGGGTCTCAGAGTCAGATTTGACTTAGCACGCACACACGCAGGCATCTTCTAGGAGTCAGAACCTCAGACAGAATCCCTGCCATCATGAAGCTAACCCCTGAAATGAGCGCTGGGGCCATAACTTCTGACTCTAGCTGGCACCTGGTCCCCTCCAACAGTGGGGGTGCTGCAAGTGGGCAGTTGGCAGGCAGCCCGATGGGCGCTGTGAGGGTTCTTTGGGCGAGGCTGGTGACCATCTCCCTGGCTCCCTTCCAGATTCCACAGACGGTGAGGGCGACTGGAGCCTCTGGTCTGTTTGCAGTGTCACCTGTGGGAATGGCAACCAGAAACGGACCAGGTCTTGTGGCTATGCGTGTACTGCAACCGAATCTAGGACGTGTGACCGTCCCAACTGCCCAGGTGGGTGTACTCAGGGGTGTGGCTCTACGTTCCCGGAGAAGCTTTTCCCTTTTGTTCTGTTTTCTGTCTTGTTATACAATTTCCAAGTGTTATGCTCCACTGACAGTTATAACAAAATATTGGCTGTATTTCACATGTTGTATAATACATCTCTTATTATACACCAGAGAGTTTGTACACCCCACCAACATCCCAGCCCTATGGGGCCCATCCTCACCCTCCCCACTGCCCACCACTAGTTTGCTCTCTGTCTCTGTGAGTCTGGGTAAGGTTGTAGCTTCTATTTAAAAACTTATAGAAATTGACTGTTTACAAGACAACCATTTTCCTAATGAGAATTCTGACCAGACTGGGACAAGAGACAAATAATGAGCTTAGAGGATGAAAAGATAGATTTTCTGAACCTGATACACAATTGCAATAACCATGACCTAGAAGACAATGTTACCATGTACTTAATTTAAGGAGTGATTCTGCTTAACTTGGTCCTTTGATGTGGAACTGGTTGTACCTTAAAGAGACACATGGAGATGGATGTTCATGGGCTAATAAGGAAGCCAAGATCAGAGGCTTAACAGCCATCTACAGAAAAACCATGTATTAGCCTGAGAGTTGCTGAAAGTTGGAGGGAGCAAACTGGGGCAACTTGGCAGTTAACTATTGCTTTAAACTGCATTGTCCATGTTTTTTAAAACTTAACTAATAATTGCAAACTTAGTGAGAGGCCATATTGGATTAGAAAACAATTGTGACTATAGTAGCATTGTCAAGCCGCTGTCTAGTCTCGTTTCCGGATGGCCCACACATTTTTAAAGGGTTGTGAAGAGAGAGGAGGAGGAAGAAGGATACACAACCAAGACCGCATGTGAAATGAATTTATTTACAAAATGTAAATAGATGCACAGCCATAGAAAACAAACTTACATTTGCCAAAAGGGAAGCGGGTGAGGAAGGGGTAAATTAGGCGTACAGGATTAACAGATATATCCTACTTTATATAAAATAGATAAACAACAAGGACCTACTGCATAGCACAGGGAATTATACTCAATATTTTGTAATAACCTATAATGGAAAAGAATATGAAAAAGAATATATATGATATACATGTGATACCACATATATATTCTTATCATTTTATATGTATATATATATCAATGTTCTGTACACCTGAAGCTAACACAACATTCTAAATCAATCTTACTTCAATTTTTAAAAGACCATATGTGACCTACAAAGCCTGAAATATTTACTTTCTGACACTTTACATAAGAGTTTATCAACTCCTGGTCTGTGGTTTTCCATCTACCATGCTCGCCACACGCAGGTAGAAAACCAGCCTAAAATAGTACCTCAGGTTCTTCCAAGAAATCACACTTTCCAAATGGTTTTCTCTGAAAGAGATTTCAGAGATAGAACATTTGATTCCCCACACCCCAAACTTCCTTTTTCTACCCCTGGAAACTTTGTTCTCAAACCACAAGGCTGAGATTTAGAACAAAATCTGGAGGAGATTTTAGAACAAAAATGTGGAGGAGCAAAGGGTTTTCTGCAGAGAAAGAAGATCAGATTGGGTGTGCGTGTGATAACAAAGGGGTATGTGCAGAAAATGGGGCTGTTGTGTGAGAAAAGGCAGTTCTGGACTCCGTCAGCCATGCAGATGGATTTCCAAAAGTGCCTGATCAACTTCTGTCAAGATGTTTGTGCTGACCTTTCCCATACTCATCACAATGAAACAGAGTTAGAAGTCTTGTGGGTTGTGTAGAAATAAACCAGTAAATAATAACGAGAAGGAAGAAGAGGAGGAAGAAAGTGAAGAGGAGAAGGAGAGGGAAAAAAAGATGAAGACAAGATGAAACAAAAGAAAATGAAGATAAAGATTGGAAGATGAGGAAGAAAAAAGGTGATAATGAAGGCCATGAAGAGTAGAACTTTTGGAGTATTTCAGTATCAAGCAGATTTCTAAAGTCTTTGCATGTGTTATTTCATCTAATCCTAAAAATAATGTCATGAACTAAGTACTGATGATGGTGTTCATTTGGCAGCTGTGGAAACTGGGACACATGGGTTAATTTATCTAGAATCACACAAGAAGCAATCGGTCCAGCTGGGATTTGAATCCAAGCAGTCTGACTCCAGAATCCATGTTCTTAACCATTAAATTCTTCCACCACCACCAGGGTGAGGGGTCCTGGGCTCAGCCACACATGAATACAAACAGCATTTAATGTCAGGGCTTGGCAGCTTGCCTGTTGCTTTCTCCTCCAGAGTTGGCATGCAGACACAAAACAGTAGACCTAGATAACTTGATAGCAGATATCATCTCTCCTCCCATTTTGAATGTTTTCTCTCACTGCTGAAAGCAGCATGGCCAGCAGCCCTGTTCTTACATTTTCTTCTCATCTGACCTGGCTTCCATTCTTTCTGCCTTTCTGTTCCTGACTCCCCCAGCTTTTCAGGGCTCCCTTGAACATGAAGGGTCTTTTTTTGCACCATCTCTTTCCTTTCCTGGTGTCTTGATTCTCAGACTCACTGGAAAGACTTAAGGGCCAGCAGTATCCCTGGCCTGGTGGTGATGACACTGTAAAAGTCTGTCCCCTAGGCTGACTGTACAAATAAGCTCTAAGGGCCTCACATAAAATCAGGGAGAGCCCCTTAAAAGAAATCAACTCACACCTAGCAGGACAGCCAAGGTTCTCCAACAAATAGTCCGCATTCCACTGTTCCTTCCTCTCCTGACTGCTTCCACTTGCAGGGGATTCCTTTTTGCAAAGGAAACCTGGGTGGGGATGGTCATTTGAGTAGGGGAGGGAGCTGGGAAACGTGAGGCAAACTAGGTTCAGTTGCTCAGAGCAAGTAATGACAAACCCAGCATATTCTTTTCTTAACATTGGATTTTTTTATTTTTAACTTTTTAAAATTTATTTTATTCAAGGCATTGTTGAATTACAATGTTGTATGGCAAAGTGATTCAGTTATACATACATATATATATTTAAGCATACATTCTTTTTCATACTATTTTCCATTATGGTTTAATCACAGGGTACTGAATATAGTTCCCTGTGCTATACAGTAGGACCTGTTGTTTATCCATTCTATATATAATTGTTTGCATCTGTTAATCCCAAACTCCCAATCCATCCCTCCCCCAGCTTATTCTTTTTGCAGCATCATTAGCAGTGCTAAAAGTCCCAGCATACAAGAAATGGGTCTTTTAGCTGTGAACCACTGCATCCTCAGAATGAGCTAGACAGATATTCAAGGAGAAAATGTCAGGCAACACTTACTGCTTCTTACGCTAAGTGCTTTCTTTATGCATAACTCATTTCATTCATTCAAGGCTCTGAGGAAGGTTGTTGGTTCTCCCTACTTATGGATGTGAAAACCGAATCACCCAGAGGTTCTGGGACTCACCCAAGTCACACAGCTAGCAATGATTTGAGCCCCAGTGAGTCAGTCCTTAAGACCAGTGTTAACCACTAGACAGGTTGTTAACACTGGACTTCCCTGGTGGCACAGTGGATAAGAATTTGCCTGCCAATGCAGGAGACATGGGTTTGATTCCTAGGTGGCGAAGATTCCCTGGGGAAGGGAATGGCAATCCACTCCAGTGTTGTTGCCTGGGAAATCCCTTGGGGAGAGGAGTTTGGCAGGCTGCAATCCATGGGGCTTCAAAAGAGTCGGACACAATGTAGCGACCAAACAACAACCAACAACAACACCACACTCTCCAGTCTCTGGCTTACACTGCCACTCTGACACCTCCAGACAGACACACATCCTGACATGTGTCCAGCACCACCCAAAACCCCACTCCTGGGACCAGGGAGTGAGCTCCTTAGGACATTCAGGCACATTTGGATCTGATTTCATGCCACAAATGGTATCTGGGGTTTTAATATATTTTATGCTCTATACCTGCCTTTTACTGTTTCCTCTGTTGGCAAGTTTCTGCCCATGAGTAGTAATGAATACAAAAAAGGCTTTGTTCACATGTATTTGTTTTTTTATTTGCCAGTGGGGCGGCGGGGGGGAGGGCAGTACTTTTTCCATATAACTAGAGAAAAAAGAGCTCCTGTCTGTGCCTAGGAATTGAAGACACCTTCAGGACAGCTGCCACTGAAGTGAGTCTGCTTGCGGGAAGTGAAGAGTTTAATGCCACCAAACTGTTTGAAGTCGGTATGAAGAGTTTTCTTTTCATTTTTCATCCAAATATTGATTTAGTGTCTTAGAGATTCCTTTTGCCTTTGCCATGCCATCCTTGGATCCATTTAAATGTTGCGTCTTCCTCTTATGGGGTCCAGTGCTGTCGGCGTTTTTCTTGCTTACCAAATATACAGCAAGCAAAAGGGAGCCTCCTACAGGGACAGACGGAGCCCAGCAGCCTTGCTGTGTCGCAGCTGGGGCCACCCTGCCCCTGGCGTGGGGCTTATCCATCATGGGGCCTCAAGCCTCATGGAATCTCTTCTCGCAGCCCTCACCAAGTGTCCCCAATGAAATAAAGAAATGATGATGTCTGTGTCCCAGAAGAGGGTCACGGGGAGGAAGGAAGAGAAAGGGCAGTTTCCCAACCCCACTCCCAGCCCCCCACCACATGAGCTTTCTGTAAACCTTTGTAACCCCCTGCTACTCCTCTGATAGAAAGTGCCAGAGCGAGTACAATAAGCACCGGCCAAAGTTATAAGTGTCTACTCAGCAAGGGGAAATCCTGCTGTATAAAAATAGCTGCATGTGCTTCTGGATGTAATTCTATTTTGCAGAAAGGTAAGATTCCTTCTGCCCCATTTCTCATTTGCACCCACTTCTGCTCTCCTCAGCCAAGCTGGAATCAGTTTGGAGATGCTATTGCCCAGGGTTTCCATCACAGTCCTTCACGTTCAGCCAACTGCCACTAGCAGAAGCCTTCTGCAAACACAATGCCTTTGATCCCCCAAATTTAAAGGTTGTGGGAGTTTTGCATAAGATAGTAAAGCAGCAAGGCCGGCTTTGGGGGCAGAGAGCGACTCTATCTTCCCCCATTTCCTGTGCACAGGCAGGCAGCCGCTTTGCCCTGTCACGGGGAATGGGACCAGGTGCCCCAATGAGCAGCTCGGGACACAGCGGAGGAGAAGGGGACCGCCTGCCAGGCAGGTTCCAGGCAGGAGCAGACACGGTTCACACTCAAAATGGGTGACAAAGGAGCATTTGATGAGGATCTGTCGGCAAAGGTGTGAGCAGGTGGAAGGAGACCAGAAGGGCTGGTACAGCGCTCTGGGACTGGCCACAGTGGGGAGCCCGCACCACCCGCTGGACTGAAGGGACTCGGGGAGAGGCCCCAGACCCCTGGGTAGGGTGGACACACTCCTGTCTCCCAGAAGGATGCAGCCGGCCTGTAACAGGGAGGGGGAGCCTCAGGGACAGCACCCTTACCTCGCCCCTTCTTCCTTCTGCCCCCGACCTGGTCCTTCCATCGGCGCACAGGGAGTCCACAAAGCAGATCCACGCAGGGCAGCCTTCCAGGGCAAGGAAAAGGGAGATGAGGAGACAGAGGACAAATGGAATATGCCTAGCATGGGTGAGAAAAGCTTGACTAGCATAACGTCAAATGTCTTAACTGACTCCTGCCTCAGTTTTCTGATCTGAAAAATGGTCTAAGTTAATGGTGTCTGGGCTTCCCTGGTGGTTCAGACAGTAAAGAGTCTGCCTGCAATGCAGGAAACCTGGGCTTGATCCCTGGGCCAGTAAGATCCCCTGGAGGAGGGCATGGCAACCCACTCCAGTATTCTTGCCTGGAGAATTCCATGGACAGGGGAGCCTGGTGGGCTATGGTCCATAGCGTTGCAAAGAGTTGGACATGACTAAGCGGCTAACACTTTCATACTTTAATGGTGCCCACCTCCTAGACTTATTGTAGAGTTGAATGAGTTGATACTCATAAAGCACTAAAAACATTCACACTGAATACTCCGTGTAAGTCTGATTAAAAAAAATAATAAGTCAATGGATGCATGACCTGTATGTACATGACTTTTGATGCCTTTATGCCCCGGAGGGGAAATGCAAAGCTGTTTTCTGGAGCCTCTGTGAATCTTGTTTCTGAAAATGCTGCCCTCTGAAGAGGACACCCACTGGCTCTGCAGACACGCGCTTCCCAGGATGGGCCTTCCATTCTCTGCAGCAGCACACTCAGGGCTTGCCCGGGTGGATTCACAGAGTCTAGCACATTCCTGCAGGCGGCATTCCCCACCCTGTTCTGTGCACGACCCACTTGCCTTCTGGTTTAACCCTCATAGGACTTTTTTGAGATGGGTGCCATTTTTATCCCCAATTTAGAGATGAGAAAACTGAAGCCCACTGAGGTAGCATGCCTTGCACAAGGTCACGGAGCCACTAAGTACTTGAGCCGGGATTTGATGCAGGCAGTCTGACACAAGTGCCCACATATGCCATCTGAAGCCAGGCCTTTCCCACGCTCCTGAGAGGTGCCCCAGCTCTCTCTTCCTTGTTTCCCTGTAAAGGAACTTGACCCCCCCTGAAAGCTGGCTCCCAATCCTACCTCTCGATTTTCACTCTTGACACCACCAGCCTCTCAGGACCCAGGTCAGTGGTGGAGAGTCACTTCTGATGCCTCCCTCCCTTCTCCCCAGCCCCCCAAGGCCTGGCAGCCCCCCTCCCCGACTACTCCTTATCCCACCCTCCGTACCTGCCAAGTATCTCGCTGGGACTCTTACAATTGGCATTGAAGGGCTTGCTGTCACTCAAAAACCATCCGTGCTTCCCTAGTGCCCTCTGAATGGGCCTAAACCACATTAAGACCACCCCCAGGTCCTGACACCAGTGATGTCCCTTCTGTATATTATCCTCTGCTCCGGGGAAACAATGTGTTCCCTGCCCTCAGACTCTCTCTGCTTAACCATGGGCCGCAGTTACCGCCAACCTGGCTGGCCCTCCTCTCTGCTCTTGGACGATGACTGGGTCCAGTCCAGCCCTCTGAGACAGGACATTCAAAACCCTCCCTGGGGGAGCCCCCGCCTGTGAGGGACAGTGCAGGCCTGACCCCTGCCAAGGGAGGGAAGGAAGGAAAGAGGACCGGGAGGCAAGGGCCTCCGAGAAGCTGGGCGAAGTCTCGCCTACACTCATGGGGCACCAGCAAAGGCTGTCTGATGTGGGAATCCCCCATAAAGCAGCACCCTGCCTGACCACGAGCAGCCCCAAGGGAGCGCAACCTGGATGTGGACCCCAGGGCAGGTGCACTGCAGCCGGGCGGCAAAGCACCCCTGCAGGCCTTCTTGCAGGAGCTCTGAGCGAGACACCTGTGGCCGCCCCTCCAAGCCTCCGGGCCAGCCCGGGGCCGCTCACCCCTGGAAGCACCCCCTGACTTGCCCTGATGGAAAATGACATTTTTTAACACCGGTGGGACTTTTTACTTTTGCTCCCCGCCACACAGCCCTGCATTCCACCATGGAGGGTTTCCTGAGATATGGATCATCCAACAATGCAGCTTCCTGAGCCAGACACTGCAGGAAATTTGCCCACACCACCTGCTTACACCCCAGCAGCCCCTGTGGGTCTCTGCCTGTGGGCCAGTTCTGGGCCCCAGAGCCCACCAGCCCATGAAGGCACACTCAACCAGAAGTCCAGGAGCAGCCCCGAATCAGTGAGTGATAATACCCAGACCCCCACCAAATGAAGACATCTCTCTTTAAAGACTATATTCCAAGGATTATTTAGTGCAAGGAGCAAGGGGCCTGTTAGCAATAGAGAGAACACTGCATCTAGAGGCCTGCAAGCATCTCAACGGTTGGGGCTAAAGAGTTTTCTTTTATAGAGGGGTAAGGCTGGAAGTGAGGGGAAGTGAGATGGAAGAGTGTCAGAATCAGACAGGACATCAGAGAATGTTCTACCGGGAGACCAGCCTGTTTTTGGGAGGCACCCCTAAGGAAAGGCTGTATTCTGGCCCAGGCTGAGGGCAGGCCCAAGTTCAGGGGCTTGAAAGAAGGGGAGAATATTCAGTTCAGTTCAGTTCAGTCACTCAGTCATGTCTGACGCTTTGTGACCCCATGAACCGCAACACGCCAGGCCTCCCTGTCCATCACGAACTCCCGAAGTCTACCCAAACCCATGTCCATTGAGTCAGGGATGCCATCCAGCCATCTCATCCTCTGTGGTCCTCTTCTCCTCCTGCCCTCAGTCTTTCCCAGCATCAGGGTCTTTTCAAATGAGTCAGCTCTTCACATCAGGTGGCCAAAGTATTGGCGTTTCAGCTTCAACATCAGTCCTTCCAATGAACACCCAGGACTGATCTCCTTTAGGATGGACTGGTTGAATCTCCTTGCAGTCCAAGGGACTCTCAAGAGTCTTCTCCAACACCACAGTTCAAAAGCATCAATTCTTTGGTGCTCAGCTTTCTTCACAGTCCAACTCTCACATCCATACATGACCACTGGAAATATTAACTGAAGTTTAGTTGAGATACATTTTGTTCTAACTGACCACTGGGGATGAGCAGTTTAGCTCGTCTATCAGGCAAAGAAAGGGAATCTGGAGTGTCTACGTCTGGGTTTTGTTTTGTTTTATTTCTGTTTGGCTGCATGGGGTCTTGGTTGCAGCATGCAGGATCTTTAATCGTGGCATGCATGGTCTCGTTCCCTGATCGGGGGTCAAACCTGGATCGCCTGCTTTGGGAGTGCCGAGTCTTACCCACTGGCCCACCAGGGCAGTCCCTGTGTCTGGTTTTGTCGTAGGAAAACACAGGGGCAGCGGTGAGACTTACCAGGTCCCGTGGGGAAGAGGGCTCTTACAGTAAGTGGTTTTCAAAAATGTGCAAAAGTGGAGAGATTGCTTAACCTTGGCTGTTTCGCAGGATCGCGGGCCTTGGGTAAAGGTCCACCCTGACTCTGGATGGGTTTCTCAGGTCCTGGGAACAGATGCTCCAGTCTCTCCAATGGTTGCCTGTTTGAGGCACACTGCCACCTTCCTTCCCTGCTGGTGTTTCCCAGAATCATGTCCCAAAGAGCTGTTTCCACTGCATCTTTGTCTCAGAGTTTGGGAAAACACAAACTGACACATTCAGTAACCCAGAAGTCCTAGACTCTGATGACTGAAGGACCCAGAGTGAACACCCATAGGGACAGGATCGGGCAGGGAAGGTGACAAACTGGGGACCTCCTGCCTTGACCAAGGAGTGGTCACTTGTCACCTAATCACAGGACCACTTGTTCCCATGAGAACAATGCAGGACCAGCATCAGTGTATCTTTTGTTTTTTCAAATGGAACAGGGAATCTACACGAATAAATAGAATCAACTAATTCTTAAATATTGGCAATTAATTCATTATTTTTAAATACTGTAACGGCCAAACACCTCTGAAAACAAGTTCTGGCTATAAGCCTACAGGTCAGTGGCCTTGGGCCAAATGTTAAATTCTCTAAAACCAGGGTCCACCAGCCTCTTCTTTAAGGCATCTTTCATGGAGATTTGCATATAATGATTGTTACTGTTTCCTGCCTAAGGTTAAGAGGTTAGGCCTAGTTCAAACAAGTCAGTGAGGAGTAGAATAAAACTTAGTCTTACAAATACTACTTTGAGGTACTTTGTATCACTTGTTGCTTATTTAGAGAGAAGATTCAAAGTGGATCTCTGAATTACTGTTCATTTAGTTATGAGCGATAGATAATGGGCTTATGGTTATGCAGGAAACCATAGAAAATACACCTTTTTCTGTAGATGCCTACTAAAACTTGTTGTTGTTCAGTCACTAAACCATGTCCAACTCTTGCAACCCCATGGTCTACAGCAGGCCAGGCTCCTCTGTCTGTCCTCCACCATCTGCCAGAATTTGCTCAAATTCATTTCCATTGAGTCAGTGATTCTGTCTAACCATCTCATCCTCTGTCACCAGACAGCTGTGAGCGCTGGATGAGTTGCAAGAGCGAGTTCCTAAAGAAGTACATGCACAAGGTGATCAACGACCTGCCCAGCTGCCCCTGCTCCTACCCCACGGAGGTGGCCTACAGCACAGCTGACATCTTCGACCGCATCAAGCGCAAGGACTTCCGCTGGAAGGACGCCAGCGGGCCCAAGGAGAAGCTGGAAATCTACAAACCCACAGCCCGGTATTGCATTCGCTCCATGTTGTCCCTGGAGAGCACCACGCTGGCTGCCCAGCACTGCTGCTACGGCGACAACATGCAGCTCATCACCAGGGGCAAAGGGGCGGGCACGCCCAACCTCATCAGCACGGAGTTCTCGGCGGAGCTCCACTACAAAGTGGACGTCCTGCCCTGGATCATCTGCAAGGGCGACTGGAGCAGGTATAACGAGGCCCGGCCCCCCAACAACGGACACAGGTGCACCGAGAGCCCCTCCGACGAGGACTACGTCAAGCAGTTTCAAGAGGCCAGGGAGTATTAAAGAGACGCCGCCGCTGGTGTGCCGCGCCGATCGCAGCCCGGCGGACTGCCGCTCTCACCAGCGCACCTGTATATACCGCGCGGGCGTTTGTCCTAAGTTACACCAGGGCTGGGCGCCGGGCCCTCGCAACTGCCATCTGAAGCCACCGTTGCCATCTTCAGTGTCAACAGCCCCCCCTTGGAACTCTTCCGAGGGAGGGATGTTCTCAGGAGCATATGGAGAAAGAAGCCGGAAGAACTTGGAAGCCGTGGTGGGTGGAATTCAACTCACTTCGGATTCAGTGGTTCCGAGAGAAGCAATGGGGCAAAGAGACTGAAATTGTAAACGTGATAAGCAGTTTTATGTATAACTTATTTAATATGAATGTGATTTATGCATAACCTTTTCTCTGGAGTTGTCATCCCGAAATTATTTAATCACTTCCGTGAGAGTTCAGAAAGGGGCTTTAGGGAGGTGGAAGAGAAAGGGAATTTTCTAGGAATGACTTCTTTAAAAACGAGAAATTCAGTAGAAGGATATCAACATAAGAAAGCCTGAAACCAAAGGTGAGTTAGCCAGTGAGGTACCTTGCTGAAGTCTCAGCTGCCAAAATGCCCTTCCCTCAGACTGGGAGAGGGTAGAGGGGGAGCAGATGGATATTTTAAGAGCAAATCTGAGACCTGGTTTTAAATAAGCTTTAAAATAAAGGATGATATTAGCACAATGCTGTAATTCTACTAAAGGACACCAGAATGGTAGAATTTCTGCTCGTGCCTTAATAGGTTCAGAAGGCTACAGGAATGTCAGACTTAAAAACAAAGAGTAGCACTTTTCCAAAGAAAACTGCAAAATAAATGGGGAAAGAACATGAACTTCATTTCATCTATTTTATTTTCATACCATCTTAACAATTTTTTCCTCCACCAATATATTTCCAGTAAATAAATATAAAAATGAGGAAGGGAACTCATCTAGAAAATCCTAATTTTTTATGTTTTAAGAAAGGAAAAAAAATACATTATTTTTGTAAAGTATTTATTGAGTCACTGAGTCTTGTGCATCAAGCAATTATAATATTGGCCTGGTTCTGTAGGGTGGAACTTAGGACAAATAAAGAGTTGGTTCTTATGCAGTCTATACTTGCAAAACTCCAGGGAAAGAGATTATATAATAAAATCATAATAAAATGTGTTACCTGCAGTAAATGTGTTACCTGCAAATATTTATGATACAAATTCTGTAAATAGCCATGGTAAAGCAGGGTTTCAAGGCAGGGGAGAGGAAGGTTCAAAACAGGTGGGAATAAAAGGCTCATTGATTGATGTAATGGTGAGTGGTGTAAGTCAGCATCTTTGGCACCAAGAACATCAACCCAGTCCCCAGGAGACCGAAGCTCATTGACACACGTGCAAATTTCTGCCCATCCAGAGCTAAGAAAGAGCTGAGAAAGCCAAGCCAAATCAAAGGCTTAAGACAAGCCCAGATGAATGGACCACTTCCACACAAAATTTTGCAAGTACAGTAATAAAGAGAATGCTTCATCATGTAAGTGATTCCTTTTCCAGATGAGGAAACCAAAACTCAGAAATAATAGATCAAATTGGCCCCATCTTTCATTTCCTAGTCCAGTGCTCTTCCTACTCTATCAGATTTTTCATGTCCTTATATTCCTGATGCCTTTTGTATTCCTAACCAGATCCTTAGATTCTTTTAGTAAGATCTTGTTTTATGGAAAAGCTTTTATCAGTCATTTATACTTTTGAATGAGTTATACATGTATTGCCAACTCTCAGGATATTTATATTTGAAATCTATTCTTAATTATGAGAAGAGAAACTTTATTCCGATTTGAAAGAATTTTAGGCAACTGAACTGCTGGGGAAAAAATCAGTAGGTTCATGTATCAGGGAAGATTTGTTTCCTAATAATAGGAAAACCATTTTGCCAAGAGAGTTGGTTGCAATGGAATTCATCACCTTCGAGATGGCGAATATCTCAGGACAGGTATTCAAGCAGAGTGTGTGAAGACCAATCACATGAGAAGCTCATTTTAGTGATAAGGAGAGACAAAAACATACAGCAATCACCCCCTCTGATAAGTGTTCTGTGAAGGAAAAATAAAACGTCCTCTGGGAAAATACAGGCAGGAATCGGGGTGGTACCTGCAGGATCCAAGAGATGAGTGGTAAAAGGGTTGGCAGGTGAATGCATTCAGAATAAGAAAACACCGTGGGCAGGCAAGAGTGTGGTGATTTCTGAAAACTGGGATGTTTAGAGTGACGAGCCAGAGGGATAAGAATGGCAGGTTATGGAGCCATGTCTAAGGTGCTTTTGTTAAGGATTTAGCCTGGGCTTCCTACATGGGCTGGTGGCTCAGCTGGTAAAGAATCCGCCCACAATGTGGGAGACCCGGGTTCCATCCCTGGGTTGGGAAGATCCCCTGGAGAAGGGAAAGGCTACCCACTCCAGTATTCTGGCCTGGAAAATTCCATGGACTGTATAGTCCATGGGGTCACAAGGAGCCAGATACGACTGAGCAACTTTCACTTTCCCAGGTGGCCCAGACAATAAAGAACCTGCTTGCTGTGCAAGAGACCCGGTTTGATCCCTGAGTCTGGAAGATCCCCTGGAGAAGGAAATGGCAACCCACTCCAGTATTCTTGCCTGGCAAATCCCCTGGAGAGAGGAACCCGGCAGGCTACAGTCCATGGGGTTGCAAAAAATCAGACACAACTGAGCAACTAACACTTTCACTTTTACTTCACTTAGCATGGAAAATGAAAGCTCTTTCCTACTACAGGGCAAATAGCTGATATGAGCAATATTTCCAACCGGCTCCTTGCCTCTTAATATCAGACCTTACTGACATAATGAACTGAGAGTTAGAAGGGGAGGTGAACTGGGAGCTGGGGAGGGTTCCTGGGCTCTTCACCTGCTGAGAACACTGCTAGCCTCCCACCCACCGTCCAGACAGCGCCATCCCGGCTGGAAATTTGCCGAACTATAATCTGCCTCTATCCAGACGTCCCCCATTCACTAAGGGCCCCACACCAGCCCCAGGGTAACCTTGGTTAATCCTTCATGGAAAGCAGACCATGTGCTCAAGGGCCAACGTCGCCCACCGCAGAGAAGTCTGTCTGCTCCCTCACCTGTAGCACCAGTGACTACAAACACCGCTCACTGAAAGCCTTGCTCCTTGGCTGAGCCTTGGAAAGACAGCCCCTTTCTCTGAGGCTCTGGGGGGGCCGTGTCTGAGCAAGCCGCCAGCAGTGGACAGAGGAGCCAAGGCCCTCTGGCGGCCGTGTGTGGGAGGGATGATGACGAGGCCCCCGAAGCTGGGCAGCTTCCTGACCCCATTCAAGCATCCGCCATGATTAGTCTCCAAGTCTTTCCAACTTTGTGGCTCAGTGGCCAAGGAGCAGATTTCCCCACCCTGAGACCAGGGACCACAGATCCAAGAATAGGTACACCAGCCAGCCTTCCTGAGGACGCACTTTGTTCATCTGTGCTGATCACTCTACCGTGGAGTTAAGCAGGTTACATCCGATTTACGGCCAAGGCACAAAAAACCCAACAAGGTCCTCTAACCTGCCCAAGCTCATGAGGCTGTGTACATGGCAAAGCTGGTTGCAGCCGTTCTGTCTGATCCCTAAGTCCACGTTCTTAACCGTATCCCCTTCTCAACTCTCTTTCTAATTCTTCCCACCACTGAGGATTAGGGGCCTTGCTCCAGCTCGCTCTCCCTTTGACCAAGTTGTTCAAATGTCTCTCCACCAATCTTCACGGTGTGACGGAGGACCTAGGTTCAGCTCTGCCCCGTCCTTCTGTATTCCATAAGAGGATCTGAGTCCTATGTCCCGGCCCTTTCTCAGGCTGGGTAAGTAGCACAGCCTGACTTTCTAAAAGACAGCCTGCCCCACAGATAAGAGCAGACAGCAGTCTGTTTCCCCTGCTGCACCCGAGCCCCGTGTCAACCACTGCTGTTGGGTAGGCCTTAAGGGCGGCTGCCGGGTCTCATGCTTTCCTCTGCTCCCAGCCCCAAGCTCAGTACTTGGCAGATGTCATCAGCAAGGGATGGGGGCAGAAAAGTGTGAGGACTGAGTCAGACTGCCTAGATCCCAGTCCTGGCTCCCTCAGTCATCAGCTGGGCAGCTTTGGATAATTCAATCAGTCTCTGCATAGTCCAGTTTCCTCAAACAGTGGTTTGGAGAATGAAATCAGATAAGAGATATGAAGTTCCTAGCATGGGGCCTGTCATGGACCCTGTGCATTGGTGTTGAGTCATTGGAGAATTAATTATTGAGTGTATACTAGTTGCGAGGCATTGTTCTAGATGCCAGGGATGCAGCGGCATACAAATCCAAGTTTTCCTGGTGGAGGGGAGATGGGTGATAAATAAATAAGTGCCTGATCTGAGATAATGGTAAGTGATAGCCAAAAAAATAAAATTTTTGATCATACATGTATGTTGCATTATTTAAATTAATGCTAGTTGCTGTAATAGATCAGCCTTGAAATCACAATGGCTTAATACAAAAACTTCCAAAAAAGTATGTTTCTGGTCAAGTGGCTCCCTTCTAAGGACCCCGGCTCTTTCCTTCTTCAAGGCATGACTCTCTCGGATGCCCTAATGCATGCTAAGTCATTTCAATCAGGTCCAACTCTTTGCAACCCCATGGACTGTAGCCCACCAGGCTCCTCTGTCCATGGGATTCTCCGCAAGAATACTGGAGTGGGATGCCATGCCCTCCTCCAGGGGATCTTCCTGACCCAGAAATTGAACCCTCATCTCTTACACCTCCTGCATGGGCAGGCGGGTTCTTCACCACGCGTGCCACCTGGGAAGCCTTGCTGCCCTCGGGGTCATCTCTGTTCCAGGCGTCATAAGGAGTGAAGAGCAAGGCAGACTGGGCAATGCAGTCCAACCAGAGGCCCGGGACGCAGTGCTGGGCTGTGTGGGCCCCCAGCCTGTCTCTGCCACACAGGTAGACCACCAACTAATTATGCAAAGTGGAAGAGCAGGCTAGTGGAAAAGGTTCTGTACAGGCCCAGAGGCCAAAGGGGGCAACCCTTCTCGCCTTATTCAGACCAGTTCAGCTTTCAACAGGCAGCTCCTACAAGTCCTTAGTTGATGGCTTTCTCTACCACTGGGGCCACTCTGGTTGCACAGATGCAGATTGAAGTGCCAGGGAACTAACCGTGCCCCCAGGAGACGTAACAGGACTTGGTGGGGGACTTCCCTGGTCGTCCAGTGGCTAAGACCCATGATCCCATTGCCTGGGGCCCAGGTTCAATCCCTAGGCAGGGAACTAGATCCCATGTGCTGCAACTAAAGATGCCACGTGCTGCAAGTAAGACCAAGCACAGCCAAGTAAATAAACAAATAAATGTTGTTTGGTGAATGAATATGCCACCTCTCTCATCCCTCAAGTGGGGCATGTCTGAAGCATAGTTTATACCATGCCCCAGCTCCCCCTAAGACTGAGGTCCAGCCACCCTCGGGGGTGACCTGCTTGCTCACATGCCAGTGATTGGCCCCCTTTGCTTCCCTGTCTTTTCTCCCCACTCCCTTGCTGTCGTTCACTGGAATCATCCTCCAAATAAGCTACTTGCCCAGATCCTTCTCTCTGAATCTGCTTCTGAGTGTTCCCAAACCAAGACATTGCTTCATGCATTAATACTTACCTCATTTTTCCAATATGAGTTTATAGTAATAGTACTGCCTTTGTGCTCCTGTGAGATGAAGTTTGTGTTAGTATAGCTCTTCCAAAAAAAAGAAAATTCACTCTCATTCTGACTAGAGATGGAAGCTCTGTGCATGTGTACTAATTTGCTTCAGTCGTGTCTGACTCTTTGCGACCCCAGGGACTGTAGCCCACCAGGCTCCTCTGTTCATGGGATTCTCCAGGCAAGAATACTGGAGTGGGTTGCTGTGCCCTCCTGCAAGGGATCGTCTTGACCCAGGGATCAAATCCATGTCTCTTACGTCTCCAGAAATGGCAGGCGGGTTCTTTACCACTAGTGCCACCTGGGAAGCCCAATAGAAGCTCTACTAGACTTCAATACCATACTGTGTAGTTTTTACAAGATGAAAATAAGCCCCTAGTCTTCATGAGTAGGGGCTTCTCAGGTGGCGCTAGTGGTAAAGAACCCACCGGTCAATGCTGGAGACGTAAGGAACGCTGGTTCGATCCCTGGGTCAGGGGAGATGGCCTGGAGGAGGGCACAGCAGCTCATACCAGTATTGTTGCCTGGAGAATCCCGTGGACAGAGGAGCCTGGCGGGCTGCAGTCCACGGGGTCACAGAGTCAGACACAACTGAAGCGA